GTTGATACTGAAATACGATCCTGAAAACATCTTGATCTCCTGAAACTAGCATGAAATACTGAAAGTATCATGCATGAGCTTTTGAATTTGGCATACAATACCAGTTAACTATGCATTTTGTTTCCGTCATAAGGGACTGCCGTTGCTGTGAAAATGGTGTGGACAACCAGATGCGCTGACAGCATCACTGCTGGCTGATTTTCAGATGATTGGAAGAGGGAGTGAAGGTTGAAAAGGGCATAGAGGAAGGCAACACGACAAAACAAAACTTGTTACAGCATCACCAATGGCCAACCGTCGGATAGTTAGGGAAGCGGTCTGAGGAAGCAAGCAGGGATGGGAGTTTGGAGAAATATTGATAATCATACAAGTTCATGGATTTTCTCAAATCAGTGCAGTTAGGCATCAAGAAGGGATTTTAAAGCATGTACCATTATGAAGAGGTGAAGAGTGATGAAAGCTGATTGGTAGCGAAAGGAAAGGAAGTTGAGAGAACAGGAAGGAGTGGAGATGTGAACACAGAGGGGAAAAGAGAAACGAAACTTGAGAAGAGCAGGGGGGGGGGGGGCACTAGATCTATGACCATTGACCGACAGGCACAGGGCAACACAGAACATAATTCATCCCAAAGTAGACGTTATATTCACTGAAGCTGAATATAATAGAATCAAAAGGCTTCAAAGAGAGGACATCAGCTGATGAGATTCATTACCAGTGCCTGAAAGATTCCAGCTAAGGAGCGGATGATGAGCTAATGAAAGGGACATGTCGGGGTGAAGGATAGATGAGGTGAGAACTGTCGTATGAGAATCTTAAAGCATCATGATATGACCTGAGAATGGATTGGCAAGAAATCATGAAAGCATCAGGAGCTGATGAAACTGGCGTGCGATGCAGCATCATATGCTAAAAGAAAAGCACGTACAGAAACATACAATATCAACAACTTTAGCTGATGTAAAAATGTTGGAGTTTTTTGTGATCCCTTCAACCATTACCAGTGTTGAAGTTTCAGCGAGGTGAGAGAAGCTGAGGGAGGGGGATACAGAGTATGGAGAGAGAGAAAGAGAGAGGGACAGTAGAATGCTATGAGCTCATGCTCAAATGAGACTAGCATGAACAACTGAAAGAATCAGGAGCTGATGCAGATGGCATGAAATATTGCGAGAGTGATGAGCTGATGATATCTGAGTGAGAGTGTCCAGGAAGAGTTGATCAGGAAATCAGGCAAATAATGCTTTTGAGTCGACTCAAAAGGAGAGTGACCAGGACGAGCTGATCAGGAAATCAGGCAAATAATGGTGAAAGCATCAAGAGCTGATAAAAAAATCAGTTAAGGAAGAGACTTTGACGACATATATAAAGCCTGCTGGCATGAGGAGGTGATGAAAGTAGATTGAATTACTCACCAAGCAGCACATGATGGTAAAAATAATACCCTGGGTTGGTTCATGCATATGTACGGTTTAAATTTAAAAGAAATGGAAGGAGGGAGGGAGGGAGGGATGGATTGGGATGAGACCAGGTCGTGGCGATTTGGACAAACAAGACAAGAGATGTCATAAAGGGAAAGAGTAAGAGGGTCTGGGGGTACGAAGAAATAAGATTTGGACAAACAAGACAAGAGATGTCAGAAAGGGAAAGAGTAAGAGGGTCTAGGGGTACTAAGAAATCACAAATCCCAACCATGAAGTTACTAAGAAGCGCAGAGGGAAGGGAAGGGATCAACAGTCAGCATGAGCATTTCCCCTTGAATTGGATAGTCACTGCCAGCACTGTCAAGTTTCTTCTCCCTGCTTCACCCATCCATACGATTACACCCACCAACCATTCCTCCATCAGAATACACCATTCAGTCGCAACACACGAGCACATAATGCACATCAACAGAATACATATATATCTAGCATCAACAACTACAAGCTACAGGCCTAGAACATGGACCTGAATGATAATCTAGAATTTTCTACTATTCATGAGCCAAGCAGGTGCACGGTGCAGCAACATGTGGCACAGTCAGCACAAGCATTCAGATCCAAGGGCATGCCGTTCCCCCTCATGCCATGCCTCCCCATTCCAACTCACCACATTCCTCCACCTCTCCTCCCATCTCTCCCACAACACCCTGCAAGCAGGGTGGAAAAAGGGGTAAGTCCCTCCATGCACCTCCCTCTCGCCCCCACCAGCCATGCCATCTCACCCACCACACTCGTCCGCTTATATTCCCATAAAGCACGCCCTGGATCTCATCTAGTGCTGCTGCCGCTGCTGCTGCTTTTTCTTTTATTTTCTTGTTCCTTTTTTCTTCTTCTTTTGAACACGCACTTCCCTTCACATCCCTATCGATTACGCTCTGCATCCCACCTGCTGCTGGTTGTTGTTGTTGTTGTTGTTGTTGTTGTTGTTGTTGTTGTTGTTGTTGTTGTTGTTGTTGTTGTTGTTGTTGTTGTTGTTGTTGTTGTTGTTGTTGTTGTTGTTGTTGTTGTTGTTGTTGCTGTTGTTGTTGTTGTTGTTGTTGTTGTTGTTGTTGTTGTTGTTGTTGTTGTTGTTGTTGTTGTTGTTGTGTGTGTGTGTGTGTGTGTTTTTCTTTCTTTCTTTCTTTCTTTCTTTTTCCACCATTTCACTTGACTACTGCCTTGCCTGGCTTCGGAATGCCACTTCCCGTCACTCCTACTGCACCCCTCCTTGTAGGCAAACCGATTGCAGGTCTGGAAATTCCACTTGTGCCAACACCCGCCTTCGGGGTGAGAGGAGCTGCTGATGCTTGGCTGCGCGCTTCGGACACCACCTTGGGGATTCCACTTGGACCAACAACACCTGTCTTCGCTCTGAGGGGAGCTGCTGCTGGGCTGCTTGCACCTGCCGTTGAGGGGAGCTGCTGCTGGGCTGCTTGCACCTGCCGTTGAGGGGAGCTGCTGCTGGGCTGCTTGCACCTGCCGTTGAGGGGAGCTGCTGCTGGGCTGCTTGCACCTGCCGTTGAGGGGAGCTGCTGCTGGGCTGCTTGCACCTGCCGTTGAGGGGAGCTGCTGTTGGGCTGCTTGCACCTGCCGTTTTGATTTCAAAAGCAGCATCACCTCATTTGGCGTAGTGGATTGCTGGTCTTCATAAGCATTCCACGAGCGTATTGTTTACGGACACACAAGAAAGACAGCATGGCAGCTGATTTGAATCTGATGAGAGGCACACAAAGAAACGGGAACATGCAGGGAAATGTGAGCGCGCGCACAAAAGGAGAAGTGGGTGTTCATGGGACGGAGTGGCTTGGCTTCTAGAATCAATAACGAATCTGAAGCAGAGTAGGAATGGGTCAAATGCATGGAAAGCATCAGATTGGGTGTAATAAACAGGTTCAATGACTTATGCAACACCTGCTGCAGCAATGCTGGTGAGTGAGAGGTAAGGCATCTGAGCCAGCAGGGTAAAGCAGTTGGCATAACGATATACGTTGATAAACTGGCATTCCCCTGCTACTCCCGGTGCCCTGTCCACCCGCCGATATGAGCGCACATTGAGGCTGATTAATGACGGCAGGTTGGTGCATCCGGTGTATTCCACACGCACGGTGAAGGTGTAGGGTGTCAAGGCAAATGCCGGCTGGTTGTAGAAGGTGAGACTTGCAGAGGACACGGTTGGGGTGGCTCCTGGAGGGAAGGGGGTTGCGTGTGGAGGAGGAAGTGAAGGCATGTCGGGACATCCATTGTAGGTCACACGCATGGTGTAGGTGTAGCGTGTCAAGGGTATCGGGTGTGACGCGGGGTATGGGGTCGTGAGAAGGATACATGCACAATTGATGAATAAACCTAGTTAAACTTGAACTTTTGATGTATCCACGAATGCGATATAATTGGTTCTTCTTGAATACAAACAAGCATAATGGCCTTACCGGCAACGCAACCAGTGCTGGCCATGCCATAGCCACGAGGGCAGACGCAGTAAGGAGACTTTCTGGTGGAGGAGACAAGCGTGCATGTGGCCAGGGACGGGCAGTTGCCACACGTGGCCGGCCCTGGTGAGGTTGGGGTGGCAAAATAGTGGAAACATGTAAGAAGAGGAGCCATGGAGAGCAGGTAGAGTAGACGGGGAAAAGAGGGCACACAAGCGTGCATGTGGCCAGGGCTGGACAGGTGCCACATGTGGCAGGCCCTGGTGCGCGCAGGGTGGAGAAATGGTGGGGGACACATCACAGCACGAGAATCAGAGGGGCAGCATAAGCAGAGTGCATGTGATCCCAGGGATGGACTCTTGCTACATGTGGCAGGTTCTGGCGAGCACAGGGTGGAGAAATGGTGGGAATATGTGAGTGCGATAGGAGAGCAGGTGGATTAGAAGGAGAGAAGCTTAGTGCTTGGACTGGGCTGGATAGAAAGGGGGGAAAAGGAGACGTTTAGAATAGATGGCAACACACAACAAAGCATAGGACTGCACAATGAGCACAATGCAAAGTGTGATAGAGATGCACATAATAGTATGGGAATACCGGGGGGGCAGCATGAAAAGAGCATGCAACCATAGTCGTGTGCGCAGGCAAAACAATGCATAGGACGGAGAGAGGAAGGAGTGAGAGTCGACGCAGTTGGTGTGGGGGGGAGGGGAGGGGAGGTTGTAATCCATCCAAGAGTATCAAGACTGCATTACGTACCAACACAGGTGCCGTAGAGCAGTGTGTAGCCTGGCTTGCATAGACAGTACGCCGTGCCATCCTCGTACTTCCTACAATCTGACGTGAGTGCCTGGCACCCCCTGAGAATGCAATTATCTGAGGGGGAGGGGCAAAGGAGAAAAGGGAGGAGCAATGTGCAGGTCCTTAGATTGAGAGAGAGTGCAGAGAGGACGGAGAGGACGTAGAACATTCGGGCTTGAGGGAAGGACAAAGAAAGAGAGAGCGTGAGAGAGAAAAGGGACAAGGACCATAAGAGAAAAGGGACATGGAAGAGAGGACAAGAGAGGACGGGCACAAGGAAGAGCACATGCGAGAGGAAGTCGTGGAAGGAGAGGAATAATTAGAGGAAGAGGTAAAGGAAGAGGTAGAGGAAGAGAGAGAGGAAGCGGTAGAGGGAGAGAGAGGAAGAGGTAGAGAGATTGGGAAAGAAGGGGAGAGAACACGTAAGTACATGGGACACACAGCAGCAAAACACGGAAGGACGCAAGAGCACACGCACACAACAAGGCACAGCATCCTTACCTATGCATGTCCTGCCATCATCTTGCAGCGTGAAACCAATGTCACACACACAAGACGCCATCCCTGCTGCGTCCTTCACACAGCGGCCGTTCTCACCACATGCTTGCAATATGCACGTGTCTGCCAGGGGAGGGAGGAGTCGCAGGGTCAATAAACGCAAAGTGTTAGAAAATGAATGAAAAATACATTGGAAAGCGCATTACATTGGTACAGCACACACAATGAAGGTAGCACACAACAGCCTAACCTAACCACTCCAAATCATGCCGGCGTTGTGCAACACATAAGGAGTATCGACTTTGGCAGTAGAGCACTGACTGACCAACACAGCCGGTGTCGGTCATGGCGTAACCAATGTTGCAGAGAGAGACGGCAAGCAAAAAACACACAGATCACAGAATCACAATCGTCACGCATGGCAGCAGAGCACTGACTGACCAACACAGCCAGTGTCGGTCATGGCGTAGCCCCAGTTGCAGTGACACACAGCACGATCCTGCTCCTTCTCACAGTAGGCGTTCTCCCCACAGTCCCTTATCGCACACGAGTCTTTCGGGGGCACAGCATGAGAGAAGGCACATACGGCCCGGGAGCAACAACAAGAGAGTGAGGGATTTTGGGGCACCTCAAACAAAAGTAGCCCGTGCTCCTTCTCACAGTCCCCGTTCTCCCCACAGTCCCTTATCGCACACGAGTCTGTCGGGTTGACACACACAGCACGAGAAAACGCACATGAGGCCGGGAAGAAGCAACGACCGAGTGAGAGTGCACGAGAGAGAGAGGAAGGGGAGAATGGCCGGAGTGCCCTGCCTGACTGAAAGGAAGGGGAGAATGGCCGGAGTGCCCTGCCTGACTGCTGTGTATGCATGCGTGCCTGAGAGGACTTTTAGTGCAAACAGGAAAGCTCATACCGAGAACAATTGCATGGGTGTTGTTATGCGCTGGAGAGGGGGATTCAGGCCACAGGAAGAAGCTAACATAGGAGCAACACGGGTGGGTGAAGGCACTCACGCGTGCAGGACACTCGGCAGCAGCGGATACAGGAAGCAGCAAACAGGGTGGGAAGGCACTCACGAGCGCATGACGCATTGGGCAGCAGATTGAGGCCCCTCTCACACTCGCAGTTGGCCCAGCCTGCCTCGTTCTTCAGGCACCTCGAGTTGGGGCCGTAGTTGCGTACCGTGCACACGTCTGCACTCACACACGTGGGGGCAGACACAGGCACGTGGGGGCAGACACAGGCACGTGGGGGCAGACACAGGCACGTGGGGGCAGACACACGCACGTGGGGGCAGACACAGGCACGTGGGGGTAGACACAGGCACGTGGGGGCAGATACAGGCACGTGGGGGCAGACACACGCACGTGGGGGTAGGCACAGACACGTGGGGTTAGGCACATTGGGGCAGAAACAAGGGGTAGACACGTAGGGACAGACACGTGGGGGCAGACACGTGGGGGCAGACACGTGGGGGCAAACACGTGGGGGCAGACGGGGCAGGCACACAACATAATTGATGAGAAACCATAACGCCATGTGCACAAGCTGTGTGAAATGCAGATACCAGATAACGCCATGATGAGCCATGGAACAGGTGCAGCGGATCGGAGTGGAGTGTGGAGCAATATTGCAATGTTGCATGCACATTCAATCACTCACGCAAAATGCAGCAGATACAAGCAATGTATAGTAAGGCCATGAAGTTGCAGTGCAGCAATGCTGCAGGCAGATTCTATCATTCTAACAGCACCAGCACCCACCAACGCAGTTGCCCTCGGCGTCCTTCTCTTGGCCCCGCGGGTAGCGGCGGTTGCTGGCAGCAGGTGGCAGGACGACGGCTGGAGCCCTGGGCACATTCTCTGCGAGACACCATGGGGGGCAAGGAGGCAGGCGGTGGTCAAGATGGTCAAGATGGATGGAAGGGTCGCAGATAGTTGGATTGGAAGTTTTCAAGGGTACTGAGTTGACTTTTGAGTCGACTCAAAAGTCAGATGGTCAAGATGGATGGAAGGGTCGCAGATAGTTGGATTGGAAGTTTTCAAGGGTACTGAGTTGACTTTTGAGTCGACTCAAAAGTCAGATGGTCAAGATGGATGGAAGGGTCATCGCAGATAGTTGGATTGGAAGTTTTCAAGGGTACTGCGAGAGGGAGAGATGGAGATGGGGAGTGAGTGAATCAGCCTTCAATGTTGATCAAGCAGCACCCGGCGTCAGCGCGGGCCACACTCGAAGAAGCACAAAGAAGGAACTGACCACCTTTAGTCGACTCAGAAATAGCGCGGGCCACACTCAAAGAAGCACAAAGAACCGACCGCTTTTGAGGTGCCTCAAAACCCAATCGGAATGATTACTCATAGCGGCAAAGAACAGAAGCATGCCAACAGACAGCAGCCTTACCAGCGCACGACTTGCCATCATCTCGCAGCGTGAAGCCAGCGTCACACACACACGACGCCGCCCCATCCTCATCCTTCACGCACTGCCCATTCACACCGCACTCCAGGAGCACAAACGTGTCTGTTAGGGGAGGGCGGAGTGGCGGGCGAAGGGAATAAAATCAGTGAATGTGAAGGGAAATGTACCTAAATAGCAGCAAAACAATCAAACCACACATGGCAGCAGCAGCACACATAACATTAGCAGCAGCAGCAGCAGCATGCACCTACCTGCGCCCGTGCTCCTCTTCACAGTGAAACTCATCGGACCAACAGGGATACGCAGCAGCACTGACCAACACAGCCGTCGGCGGTGACGTTTGAGTCGACTCAAAAGCCAGGGTAACAAACACAGGATGTCATCACAGCTCAACTCATCAATACAACAGGGATAGGCAAGCAGCACTGACCAACACAGCCGTCGGCAGTCTTGGCAAAGCCAGTGTTGCAACGACACGTGGTGCGCCCCTGCACCTCCTCACAGTACCCGTTCTCTCCACAATCCTGAATCATGCACGCCTCTGCCAGGTTCACAGCACGAGAGGGCGCACAGCAGAGCAAGCACAGGGCAGCAGAAAAGTGATGCTGGATGGAGTGGCCACAGCATGCTGAGAGGCAGTTACATGCGACTGGGAAGGTTTGAAACGAGAGGCAGCAATGGCACCGGTGTTGCTACCCCTTGCTGGGGAGGATTCAAGCCCTTGACCATGGCAGCCTTGAAGTCAAGCACGAGAGGAAACAACAAGGGCGGCAGTTTAGGTCATGTCATGTGCAGGACGCTGGAGTGGGCAGCAGCGGATATGAGAAGCAACAAGGGTGGGTGAAGCATCAAGGGTGGGTGAAGCAACAAGGGTGGGTGAAGCAACAAGGGTGGGTGAAGGTGAAGGGTGAAGCTGGGTAAATGTAACACCTCGCTACCCACTGGGTCAAAACGAGGGTTATATTTGAGGCGAAGCGGATGCACTCAACCCTTACATGAGTGCATCCACTGGAGCCCCACAAGTGTTACACTCGTCCCCCCCTGGAGCCAATGTCCTCGTTGGGCAGGGAGTCGAGTCGGCCCTCGCAAGGACCTCAATCTCACTCTACAGCCCAGCGGCCTTTGCTGGTGGGCCAGCCCAGCGGCGGATCGCTCACTGGGTTTGCGACTGGGTCACCACATTCAATTTCTCGCCCACAGCGGAAAGTCTGACCCAGCCAGGAATCGAACCCTAGCCTATGAGACCAATTGTATCACCTCGCTACCCACTCAGTCAAAACGAGGGTTATATTTGACGCGCAGCAAATACACTCAACCCTTACATGAAAGCCCCACTGGCGTTACAGAGAAGGTGAGCTCATGTGCGCAGGAGGCGTTGGGCAGCAGCTTAAAGCCCCTGTCACACACGCAGTCTGCCTAGCCCGCCACGCACTTGAGGCACCTCGTGTTGGCGCCACAGCTGCCATCCGTGCATGCCAGGCGCAAGGCTTCCGCCGCCCTGGGCGCACATGCTGGGAGAATCCGGGGAAGAGAGGGGGAGGGGTTTGGGGAGGAAAGAGGGTGGGGGGGGGGGGGGGGGGGAGGGTCCGGGCTGCCATCCGTGCATGGCCGACGTTATTAAGCCTGGGCCAGGCGCAGGGGTGAAGGAGGTGGAGGAGATGGTCAAGATGAAAGGCCGGAGGAGAGCTGGCGATGCTAAGGCTTTTGAGGAATTATGTAGACATGCATATGAAGCAATATGTGTTTTTTTGTGTACAAAGCACAGATAGCTGTTCGCAAGGCCGGTGAGAGAGTGAGCATACCTGAGAGTATGAGAGTAGCCAGCGCAGCAGCGAGCACAAGCCTGAGGTCAGAGCGTTGCATCGCAGCGACGTCGCACGCAGCCATGGTTAATCTTTCTGGATTCTTGAAAGCGAGAACTCGCGAAAAACACAGCACGGAGGGATCCTTGAGGAGGTGCGTAACGGTTGAAATCGGTCAAGCAGGAAAGGGTGGAAAGGAATCATTTGCGGACTGGGATGATGATGGATTTAGTCCCATCACTGAAATACTTCCACCGCGCTCAGTCCCCCGCCTCCTACGGCTGCCGGATGCGGGTGACCAATGGCAGGCATCCCCTGGGTCCTTGCGAATCGGTTTTATCTAGTGTTCTTGTAGCACGTGGCATGACGCAATCCGAACAGTTCAAACGTCGGGTTCACGCCGACCGTCAACCTCCAAGAAACTTGGAGTGCGGCAGATTTGGATTCCCCAAAGAACATCACTTGGAGTCTTAGTATCGTTCACGTATCTGTAGCAATCCTTGACGGCATTCGTGAGTGATACGGATGCTACCGTCCTACGCCGCGCGGAAGATATGCTCTAGCCCGGCTTGAGCTTGAGCCATGACTCTTGGATGTCTACAGTACCCAGGATGCTTCTATTCGATGATTCCGGCACGCGGAGGAACGCTGAACGGTGAGCACTCGTTTTGGGCTCAATTCTTCGGAAGGGATTCATCCAATGACGTGGCGCGCCCTCCCTGGCATTTGGACAAAACACAAGACTGCTTGACAAATATGACGTGCGCTGAACACGTCCCAAAAAAGGGGGCCCAAAAACTAACCCCCAGAAAAGATAAAACATAGTTTTTGGTTTGGTGCTGGCAGCAACGTTTGGGGTCTTTCTACAAGATTCCTCTGTCAAAAAAGGATGGCCTAGGGCTAGCTCAGCAGGAGTGATAGAGCACTCCCCGTTAGGCTCGGAAACCATGCCCTACACATGCCTGGAGGTTATCTCGTACCCTTCTTCCAGGGGGGCGCCGGAGGCAGTGGCTGTCGAACATTATATATTTTGTATTTGTGTAGGCTACAGTTGGTTAGCCTTTAGGGGGTACATTATTCTAGGGTTAGGTATTTGTACTCTCACTTGTTTCTAGTCCAACAACTTCTTCTTTCCAACATGGTATTAAGAGCATAGGTTTAAACCTAGGATCGCTCCTTAGGGCCCACCACACCGTACGACTGTCTGCCTACTAGCGCCCTCGTGCGCCCTACTGTCGGAGCGCCCTCGAGCGCCTCCCCCCAGCGCCCTCGTGCGCCCCTCTTTCACGGCCTCGTAAGGCCCCGCGACCCGCCCCTTAGCGACCCGCGCGCCGCCCCTTAGAGCCCCCTCTCACGGCCGCGTCGACCCTACGCGCAGCCCCTCGTAGGCCCCGTCGGCCCAGTCGACCCCGCGCGCGCCCCACCTAGCGGCCCCGTCGACCCCACGCGCCGCCCCTTAGCGGCCCACCTCACGGCCCCGTCGACCCCGAGAGCAGCCCCTTAGAGGCCCCGTCGGCCCCGTTGACCCTGCGTGCGCCCCACCTTAGCGGCCCCGTTGGCCCCGTCGACCCCGAGAGCAGCCCCTTAGAGGTCTCGTCGGCCCCGTCGACCCTGCGTGCGCCCCACCTTAGCGGCCCCGTTGGCCCCGTCGACCCCGTGCGAGCCCCCCCCCCTCCTTAGCGGCCCCGTCGGCCCTTGCTCAACGTTTTCCACGCATTGCGCCCGGAAGGCGCCACGTGGTGGAATTTCCCAATGCGCCATTGCACCAATCGCATGCGCCAGGACGCCGGCTCCCATGCCATGCTCCCCGCCGACATGAGAGTACTGCTTGTACGTGTCTGGTTTGCGGATAGGTAGCCTTGCGTGCTTGAAATCCACGCGCGCGTCGGGTGCGCCTGTGAATTTGTACGGCCCCCTATCCAACCGCAAAACGCCGGACATATCGAGTAGCATGATTATGAATTTGTCCAAGCACAACAACTCTTGGACTCAACAATTGACAACTGCTGGCGACATCGACTTACCACCCATCCTTCGGAGTAAGCGAATTCCATCAAATAACGGCGATAGTCCATTGGGGGGGAACTGTCGCAGACAAGGTCCCCTTCCACCTTTGCCGCGAGGTTGACGTTCCGGTAACCCGAGGCAGCCAACGCCTTGAATGCCCGAGCACGTTCAGTCAGTGCGAGGGGATCGTGGGCATCGTTGAAGACGCTTTCGATGCACATGCACTCCACATAGGTGAGGTTATACATGTCATCAAGGCCGCGTGCAGACCGTAGCATTTCTGCCGCACGTCCACTTAGAGTTGCTGCACGGGCCCTGCTACGTGTGACCAAGTGCGATACGGAGTCCGCCAGCTTCTTGGGTGTCGAATTCTCGCCCGCGTTTCTCAAACGTATGAACTCTGACTGCATGACGACCGAGGAGATGCATGGGTAGTCGCGGACGAAAACATGAATGGTACAAGGCCAACACTTAGCAGTCCGCTCGCGAGGCCATTCTGGCCCATAGTAGCGCGAATAAGGTTCGTATAATTTCGGAACGAAGGTTGAAGCAGAGGTGGACATTTTGTCAGATGCTTGCAATGCTCTCTAGGGCGGCTCCAGTGCACCTAAATGAGACTGCGCGCAACGATAAGACTTGGGTGCAGCACAAATGATGGGTCCGTGTATTGAGGGTCTTGTTACGATTTATGATCACAAAGTTGTTCATTTAGGGCCGATAGTTGAAAGATGTACTAAAAGCATGCGAGATATTTTCGCACAGCCTAGCCACGGTCGCAAGCACACATATGTGCCCAGGGTTGTGGTCCCATTGAATTATCTAGTCTGACACTTCAGACATAGGACGAGATTAGTAGGATTTTCCAGCGCGGTAAGCAACGCTCGTGTGACATCATGGCACTAGGCACTCTCTCGTTTTCAGATATCAGAAAAACTATAGCTTACGACCCCTACACACCACAGGCGCCAGCAATGCCATCAAGGTTTCATCGAATATCTTATTCTGCCACATGATGATATTAGTCTGAAAATACAGCGCGGCAAGCAGGGGGCGTCTGACAGCACCGCGTTTTGCCAACGCATGCCTGCAGATATAGTAACACGTAATCGCCACGAAGCAAGGGTACGACCACATAGCGTTCGTACCTGTAATATGCCGATCCGCGTAGTTGGCGCGTCATTGTGACTTGGATGTCAGAATATTATTCTTATGTTCTAGCCTGTAGTGGGGTGCTCTATAGCGAGTACAACCCTTCTAGGGTTTGCTATTTGTATCCCCATTTCTGCTAGTTCATTCCTCTTTCTTTCTTCAAACTTTGTCATGCTATCAGAGCAGGTCGATCCCCTTGGATCGATCCTGTGGGTGGGTTTCCACCTCGCTTCCGCTGCTACCTTTCCTTCCCGCCGTGTGCCCCGAGGCGCGCGGCGGTTTTCCTTCCCGCCGTGCGCCCCGAGGCGCGCGGCGGTTTTCTGCCCGCCGTGCGCCCCGGGGCGCGCGGCGGTTCTTTGCCCGCTGTGCGCCCCGAGGCGCGCGGCGGGCGTCTGCCCTACCGTCGCGGCCCCGCCCTGCGTCGCGGCCCCGCCCCTCGAAGCGGCCCTGCCCTACGTCGCGGCCCCGCCCCGACCGTCGCGGCCCCGCCCTACAGTCGCGGCCCCACCCTACGTCGCGGCCCCGCCCCGACCGTCACAGCCCCGCCCTACGTCGCGGCCCCGCCCGACCGTCGC